TTTTTTGAAGGTGGCAGGTCTACTATGAAATCCATGGCGATACTTGACCAGGGCATTTCGGGAATAGGTAACGGCATGAGGAGGCCTAAAGGACGACTTTTAGGGGACTTACTAGAGGAACAAATGTTACAGGCCAGGACATATTCTCGAATGTCCTTCTTGTAAGAAGGCCACCAGAATTGCTTTTCGAGTAGTGCTTCTGTTTTATGGATACCGGGATGACCGGCAATCTTAGAGTCGTGTACCAAGGATAGGATTTGTCTTCTATAATTGAAGGGTACGTATAATTTTCCCTGAGGGATAGTCAGGGAGTTGTGGTTTTGGAATTTAGACAATACTTCTATTAAGCTAGAAGAGATTTTAGTACGTATCGTAGCCACTATTTGTGAAGCAGGGATTATAGAAGATAAATGGGTTACTGGTGGGGATATGTGTTCATGTTGCCGAGATAAGGCATCTGCTTTAGTATTCTTAGAACCGGGTCTGTATGTCACTAAGTAATTAAAACGTGTTAGGAATAAAGACCAACGAATCTGCCTGTCAGTCATTCTTTTAGCTTCTCCAAAATAGGAGAGGTTCTTGTGATCAGTGAAGATGATGATCGGTTCAGATGTCCCCTCTAATAGATGCCGCCATTCTTTGAGTGCTGAAATGATAGCCAACAATTCCCTATCCCCTATATCGTATCTATGTTCTGTTTCCGTCAGTTTTTTAGAAAAATAGCCACAGGGATGTAGGGGCTGGTCATTCGAGGATCTCTGAGAGAGTACAGCTCCTATCCCTGTCTCAGAAGCATCCACTTCTAGCAAAAAAGGACGCAAAGGATTAGGGTGACTTAACACCGGGGCTGAAGAAAAGGCTAGCTTCAATTTTTCAAAGGCCTCCTTAGCTTCAGTACTCCACACCGTATGACTTCTATTCTTTTTTGTCATAGCTGTAATAGGAGCGGTAATAGAGGAAAATCCTCTGATAAACTTTCTATAGTAATTAGCAAACCCCAGGAAACGTTGGATGGCTTTTAGTCCAACGGGTAGGGGCCAATTTAAAATGGCTTCTAGTTTTTTGGGTTCCATTTGAAAGCTGGAACCGGAAATTATGTAACCCAAGAAATTAACCTTCTCCACGTCAAATAAACATTTTTCTAATTTACAGTAAAGTCCGTTCTTTAATAATTTGGATAATACTATTCTGACATGCCTATGGTGCTCCTTGATATTCTTTGAGTAGATGAGTATGTCATCTAGATAAACAACAACAAACCTTTGTAGATAGTCCCTTAATACATCGTTTATAAAATCTTGAAAGACTGCCGGAGCGTTGCATAAACCGAAGGGCATAACCCTATATTGATAATGGCCATAGCGAGTATTGAAGGCCGTTTTCCACTCATGTCCCTTCTTAATACGAACTAAATTATAAGCTCCCCGTATGTCTAGTTTAGTGAATATGGTAGCACCCTTTAACCTATCAAAAAGCTCAGTAATGAGCGGAATAGGATACGCATTTCGTATAGTTATTTTGTTTAATCCCCGATAATCGATGCAGGGTCTTAGGTCACCTTCCTTTTTGGAAACAAAAAAAAACCCTGCACCAGCCGGGGAGGATGATTTGGTAATAAAACCCTTCTTCAGATTTTCTGTGATGTACTCTTCCAGTACTTTGTTTTCTGTTACAGAGAGGGGATACACGGTACCCCTAGGGGGCATAGTACCAGGCAACAATTCAATAGCGCAGTCATAAGAACGATGGGGTGGTAATTTGTTTGCTTCCCTTTGTTCAAAGACTGCCTTGAGATCCCGACAGGGTTCGGGTACTTGAGTGGTTAATGGTTCCATGGTAGGAACGTTGAGGAGTCCAATAGGTTTAACTCGACTGATACACTCCTTAAAACAAGAATCACCCCATTTTACTAATTCTTTTCTTTCCCAGTTAATTAGAGGATTATGCTTGGTAAGCCAAGGAAACCCAAGTATAATCGGAAAGGTAGGAGAAGGTATTTGCTGTAAGATTATGGTTTCTTTATGCAATGAACCTACAGTCAAGACTAAGGGTTTGGATTCTTGAGTGATAAAAGGAATGGATAATGGTCTACCATCTATGGCCTCAACGGCCAAGGGTGTTGTTCTTTCTCGAAATGGGAGGTTGTGGTGTTGGCCGAAAGTACGGTCAATAAAGTTCTCTGCTGCCCCCGAGTCTATTAGCGCAGAAGTATTTATTAACTTTTTCTCCCATTCTATAGTTATCGGTAGAAGAAGCCTGAGTTCTTTTCTATCTTGGAAGGAGGACATACACGTTACACCCAAGGCCTGTCCTCCTTGAGGGCTTAGGCGTTGGAGTTTTCCGGCCGGCTTGGGCAGTGTAAGCGGGTATGCCCTCTTTTCCCACAATACATACAAAGTCCTTCCCTTCGTCTATATTGTCTCTCAGGTTCAGACAACCGTGTGGCTCCCAGTTGCATGGGTTCTACTGGAGCGACAGAGGTTTCCTCAGATGAAGGAAACGTTAATGCCAGGCGTTCTGGTATACGCCTAGGTCTATCCCTGGTGTTTTGTCTATGTCTGAGACGTTCATCTATATGTGCTAGATATGTAATTAATTCTTCCAACACATTAGGGAGATCTCGGGTGGCTACCTCATCTAAAAGTTTGTCAGAAAGCCCGTTCATAAACACATCTACAAAGGCCTGCTAATTCCATCTGACCTCTGCAGCATGAGTGTGAAATTCTAGAGCATAGTCCACAAGGGAACGCGTCCCTTGTTTCATTCGTAAGAGGGTTTTAGCAGCATTGGTACGTCTCCCAGGGGGATCAAACGTTCTTCTAAAGGCTGCGACAAACTCTGCGTAGTTGAAAACTATGGGATTGTTGTTTTCCCACAATGGATTAACCCAAACTAGTGCTCTATCGACTAACAATGTTATAATATAACCAATCTTAGCTCTATCGGTAGGATATGCCCTAGGATGAAGTTCAAAGTTAATACTTATTTGATTGAGGAAACCCCGACAACCCTTGGGATCACCTCCGTAACGGAGAGGGGATGTGGCATGGGCAGAAGCACCCCCTGTCGCCATCTCCAAATGAGGTTCCTGAGGTCTAAGACCCGGAATATGGTCCTCTGGCTGTAGATGTGCAGTCCGAGCTAACAGGATCTGAACGGCTACAGCAAACTGGTCCATACGATGGTCCAGCTCCTCAAATCGATTATCAGGAACCGGGCCATGAGGAACCGGGCCATGAGGATTAGCACCTGCAGGGTCCAAGGCCCTAGTGTAATGTCACGATAGTGACCCCTTCACACAGATGGTAACCCTGAAAGGGACGTATACCGGACCTTAGGGTGGCCGGACTTAACGTCAAAGAATAGTCAAGAAAAAGCCGAGGGTCAAGGGAGTACGGAAATCGGGATAAACGAGAAAGCCAAGCCAAAAGTCGGGAAGCCAGATAGGAGAATAGTCAGAACGAAAGCCAAGGGTCAAAATACCAGAAAAACAGCAAAACAGTATAAGAGCACTAGGGGAACAATCAAGAACCACACTAGGGCACTGAGGGGTGGACAGGGATGCCCTTTTATACTAATGTGTGTGTGTCACTTTAAAGCCACGCCCCCAAAAGGTTCGGGAGCGTGGCCGCATTTGAATTTTCGCGGCAAAATCATTATGACGTCGGCGCGCATGCGC